TAGTGACTGGATTCAAGCGGTTTATTCTGGAGTTCTAGTGAGAAGCAAAAACCAGTGGAGTTCAACCGTGTCTGTTGTTAGATAGTAACTCACTGATGAAAATGGTGGTGTCGCTCAATTTCGTGAATTAGTTGAAGTTAGACATTAACACCGTTGAATGCCGGTTCAGTTGTCTAGTGGTTAAGTGCTCACGCGCGACACTGCTAGATCCTGCGTTCGAATCTCGTGTACGTGCACTACTGAGGAGTCCCACAATACGACGAAACGGCCGTCTAGTGCTTCCAGTATATCCATGGTGGTCTAGCTTCAATTAACTCATGATCTCAACTATTGAAATTACTATAATATCCATGAAACACCTGATATTTCATATTAGTCAGAAAAAGTCACATAAAATGTGAACGCATCTAAATAAGGTAAATATTCATTTAGATATGATAAAATAAAAAAAATAAGAATTGTATTCTGAAAGACTAATGAGATAACTATGCATGACTTAGGATATTTCTTAGTGATCAATAGCAGAATCATGTCATTAGTAAAGAAAATAGAAAAAAATTAAAATCACAGTAGAAGAGTGAAATTGTGTACTTTACACAGCTAAAATGTGAACGATAAAATGTGAATGATAATAATACATGGGTAATTGATCAATATTGAGTAAGCATATTTTGATCTAGATCTAAATGAGATGACGTTAATTAACCTTAGAATTTGAATCCAATAAATGTAATCCAGTAGTTGTACTCTAAGAAGTTGTATTTCACAAAGATTGTCATGATATATATAACATTGTAATAATCAATACATTTATAATAATCAATGATAGATACGTTCAATTACAGAGCTTTCTATTAGGAAATATCCTGAACTCCATGGATTTTAAGGCTGGTCATAACAACTGATAATAGCTTGTAAATTAGAAATAAAATATGTTTTTAAAAAAAATTGAATTAATCACAATCACAATGTAATGAGTCAATAAAGAAATCTTTGAAATATATAGCTTCAAATTAATATCTTCAAGTATATCTACGCCAGTATGGTCTATTCGGGATATTGAATGTAAGTCAGTGCTATCGGAATTGTCATAATGCCGATATAAATTTAGAAAATCCAAGGATAGTTTTCAGATTAATGTATGCGTGATGCCTTAAATCAAGTATTTATTCTTGATTAACTTCTATGTAACATTGGGAAAATTAAGGTCATATTAATCCTATGACTCTTCTATTATATGTTTGCTAATACAGAAAATACAAGTGTTTATTAACAGCTGTCTACGCAAAATACTTCGAATCCGATGACCAGACACTATCTGCAACAACCTACTGTGGGAGAGAACAAACCAGATCCCAGCGGTGCAAGAAATCAGAAAGAAGCGCCGGAAGTGAATAGGACACACATTGAGGAAAGCACACAACTGCGTCACAAGACAACGCCTCACATGGAATCCTCAAGGCCAAAGGAGGAGAGGAAGACCAAAGAACACATTACTCCGAGAAATGGAGATAGACATGAGAAAAATGAACAAGAATTGGATGGAACTAGAAAAGAAGGCACAGGACATAGTGGGTTGAAGAATGCTGGTCGGTGACCTACGCTTTATTGGGAGTAACAAGCGTAATTAATTAAGTAAGTAAGATGTTAATTTTAAGCATATTTCTATTGTAGCTTCGCATTCCTCGGAAATAAACACCAGCTACATAGTTAACGATCAAACTCTGTATCTTTCCCTCTCACAATGAAAATATGAAATTCTGCGCAGTTATTGAAGTGATCTAGACTTTGATGAATTCAGTATCAGTAGCTTTTTGACTTTCAAAAGTTCACTAATTGGTTGGAGTTAGATATGAATACCGTTGGATACCGGCTCAGTGGTCTAGAGTTTAATGGTGGTCTAACATTGATCGATTCATGACCTCAATCAAAATCTCGACATCTTCCACGAACGCATGCTAATAATTACTAATTACAATCGGTTTTTGATGAAACTATTCTCAAAGTCCTCACGTTAAGTTATTTAATTTCGCCGAAATTTTCAGCTTTCTCATGTGTGCTCATTTCTAAAGCTAGAATAATATGAAACAAAATGATTTAGTCTAATTAAAACATAAATTTATTTTCAATGTTCACAACATATTTGTTTTATATACTTGTGTTTGTAAAATTGACTCTAATAAGGCAAAACAAATTACACCATTATGTTAATCTCATTATAAAATGGTGTTTTGAAATATTTTATATTACAATGGTTGAATTTTTCCAAATTTTCCATGGTAGTCTAGCGTCAATTGACTCATGACCTCAACTATTGAAACTCCTATAATATCCGCAAAAACCCCTTTTAATATTATTCAACAAATGCTCACTAGTGACTGGATTCAAGCGGTTTATTCTGGAGTTCTAGTGAGAAGCAAAAACCAGTGGAGTTCAACCGTGTCTGTTGTTAGATAGTAACTCACTGATGAAAATGGTGGTGTCGCTCAATTTCGTGAATTAGTTGAAGTTAGACATTAACACCGTTGAATGCCGGTTCAGTTGTCTAGTGGTTAAGTGCTCACGCGCGACACTGCTAGATCCTGCGTTCGAATCTCGTGTACGTGCACTACTGAGGAGTCCCACAATACGACGAAACGGCCGTCTAGTGCTTCCAGTATATCCATGGTGGTCTAGCTTCAATTAACTCATGATCTCAACTATTGAAATTACTATAATATCCATGAAACACCTGATATTTCATATTAGTCAGAAAAAGTCACATAAAATGTGAACGCATCTAAATAAGGTAAATATTCATTTAGATATGATAAAATAAAAAAAATAAGAATTGTATTCTGAAAGACTAATGAGATAACTATGCATGACTTAGGATATTTCTTAGTGATCAATAGCAGAATCATGTCATTAGTAAAGAAAATAGAAAAAAATTAAAATCACAGTAGAAGAGTGAAATTGTGTACTTTACACAGCTAAAATGTGAACGATAAAATGTGAATGATAATAATACATGGGTAATTGATCAATATTGAGTAAGCATATTTTGATCTAGATCTAAATGAGATGACGTTAATTAACCTTAGAATTTGAATCCAATAAATGTAATCCAGTAGTTGTACTCTAAGAAGTTGTATTTCACAAAGATTGTCATGATATATATAACATTGTAATAATCAATACATTTATAATAATCAATGATAGATACGTTCAATTACAGAGCTTTCTATTAGGAAATATCCTGAACTCCATGGATTTTAAGGCTGGTCATAACAACTGATAATAGCTTGTAAATTAGAAATAAAATATGTTTTTAAAAAAATTGAATTAATCACAATCACAATGTAATGAGTCAATAAAGAAATCTTTGAAATATATAGCTTCAAATTAATATCTTCAAGTATATCTACGCCAGTATGGTCTATTCGGGATATTGAATGTAAGTCAGTGCTATCGGAATTGTCATAATGCCGATATAAATTTAGAAAATCCAAGGATAGTTTTCAGATTAATGTATGCGTGATGCCTTAAATCAAGTATTTATTCTTGATTAACTTCTATGTAACATTGGGAAAATTAAGGTCATATTAATCCTATGACTCTTCTATTATATGTTTGCTAATACAGAAAATACAAGTGTTTATTAACAGCTGTCTACGCAAAATACTTCGAATCCGATGACCAGACACTATCTGCAACAACCTACTGTGGGAGAGAACAAACCAGATCCCAGCGGTGCAAGAAATCAGAAAGAAGCGCCGGAAGTGAATAGGACACACATTGAGGAAAGCACACAACTGCGTCACAAGACAACGCCTCACATGGAATCCTCAAGGCCAAAGGAGGAGAGGAAGACCAAAGAACACATTACTCCGAGAAATGGAGATAGACATGAGAAAAATGAACAAGAATTGGATGGAACTAGAAAAGAAGGCACAGGACATAGTGGGTTGAAGAATGCTGGTCGGTGACCTACGCTTTATTGGGAGTAACAAGCGTAATTAATTAAGTAATCAATAAAGAATGATCAGTAATCATCGTCTGCTTTTATTGAGTCGTTGAATTCTTTTACTCTCACTATCATTTCGTCACATTTTTGGCCCATTTCACTCATTTGAATAGAATGAGGGATCAATCACATCATGACGGTTTCATAAAATCAATACATTTAGTAGGAGTAATAGAATTCTCTTATTAAAACTGCTTTACAGTTTATTTTGTCGAGTTACTCTAATGATAGTAATTATGTTTATATATATATAATGAATGTCATATGGATGATTTATGGAAAAATCTACTGAACTAGTCAGTATTTCCTTCCATTATGTTATTATAATTAATCAGTTTATTTTTAAATCTATTTCTTAATACAGTAATGTTTGACTGTTACAACTTTAGCCACAGGTCTGTAATCGCATTTTGAATGAAATGTGAGATGAAACATTCGGCTATGTCTGATTATGTGAAATGAGTCACTCAAATTTCTCTCTAACACAGTTTAATTTTAAAAAAGTACTCAATGAATAGTGTAAAAAACATTAGGACGAAACGGCCGTCCAGTGCTTCCAGGTTTTCCATGGTGGTCTAGCTTCAATGGATTCATGATTTCAACCAGTGAAATTTCTAAAATCTCCACACAATCCCTTCTGATAATTAGTGGAATAGTTTTATTTTAATGAAGCTGATATTCATCTTTCATCAAGCCGGTAAATATAAAAGCCAAAATAGTTATTCACCGATTGGACAATGAGACAAGTCAGTTCATATTGATTAATTAAAATTATTAAAATTACTGCAAAATTATTGCACATATAACAGTATTTAAACTGGACTAATGTCAATTCTCATAAACAGCATAAATCATTGCAATTTTACTCAATTCAAGAAGTTAATGTGTTCACTTTAATTAACTCACTCGTAAATCTTAGTCAGTTCAGTGAATTATGAATAACATTGAAGTCTCACAATCATTATCACTTATTCAAGCTACAACGACAAATAAAATGAAATGGATTAGTAAAATTGCTTATGGAACGGGTCAAATGCTTAAAGATCTTGTTGTGGGATTTATCAGTATATTCTACATCATATTCTATGAAGGTTGTATCAATCTGAGCAGTTCACAAGTTGGGGCATTATTACTGTGTGGTCAGATTGCCAATGGATTAGCCACACCACTGATTGGTTATTTATCAGATCGTTTACTCAGTCCAACTGAAAAACCGACAACTGCTAACCAGTCGATAACGTATGAAGATGAAAGTGTAAAAAAGGATAAGAGGTTGTTTAGTCGAATGAAACGGCAGTTGAGACTTGGACAGAGAAAATCATGGCATTTAGGTGGATGTTTATTGATGCTTATTGCTTTTCCGTTGATGTTTGGACAACCGGAATATTTTGTTGGTCTTCCAATTGTGATGAAGTTATTGATCAATGGCATGTTTATGATTTGTGTTCAGGTATGTTTTATTGTATGAATGAATGTTTGTGATTGTGATGTGTAATTCTTGGAATCACTTGAAAAAATATTAAGTAATAAAGTTTTCACGTGTTTACATCACGGTTTCTTTCTTGTCTGATCAATTCATCGATTAATCGAAATAGTTTGAACAGACATTTGTTCACTATTGAACTAAATTACGGTATGTATCTTATCCACGAAATTATATTGATAAAATGTTTTTTCAGAATTTATTTCTTTATGCATAACAGTACATATGTGGAAGATTTAGAGCACACAAAGTGAAATTAGGTCACCTCATTCTATCAAGATTTATTGTCCTTGTTTTCCAAATGTTTATTAAATGATCAAACCGGATGAAATATCAACATGCTCAAAGGTTAAAAAACAAACTATTTAACCAATTACTGCAAAGTCATCATCGAATTGAATTCGAATGGAGTTGAGATTAAATATCTTTGTAAATAGTCTTAATATCTCTTTTAAAATAAAACGAACATATAGTTTCCCAAATTAAATCAGTCCCTCATGTAAACGAACCCTAATTTCCACAAAATCCACAAAACATCATTCATGAACACAATAATATATATACTTTCTATGGTATCTCAATAAGTAGTAAATTGTATTGTAGTAAGAGAGAACACAATTGGTGATGATTGAATGTATATGAACACAAATTTACAGAATAGCTTAGTAAACTCTGAGAACCATACATTAGATACTTCATTTGCAAAATATCAGTTAATCGTCTCATACTTGATTGTTCCTTCGTTTCCACACCAATCATTCTCTATTCTCGTTCTCTTTTCCTCGATCTTCCTAACCTTCTCTCTACAGGCATTACACTTTCGAATGATGATAAACACTATTTATGTTTATGAACATCAGTAGCACACACAACAGTATTTCTGATGTTTCGTGGCTTAAAGTGAGTCACTTCTTCATAGTAAATAAATGACCGTAAAGTAGTTAACACAAGTTTAAATAGTACCAAGAAAATATCAATTATCACTTTGAAAATTCCACAGTTCTAATCACCATTCTTCCAGGATCCCCTGTCATTGGAAACTATTTAGGTTCCAAATAATCGTGTATCCACTTGCGGTCATCTTCAAGATACATTTCTCTCAGTTCCGACTGGTACTTGTGCTCTGTGAATTCGGATGAATTGACTAAACTCTGATTTTGAGTTGTTGATATTTTAAAATAACACAACATTCAAACTAATTGATTCTCGTTTTGTTTACACAACAATATTTCGAAGGTCGGTTGTGCAGCTGTACAAATTCCTCACTTATCAATTATCAGTGATTTGACAGACCAACATGATGAACAAGTATTACTTGCATCGGTAATGTATTTCTTCTGTGGAGTCGGCCACATGACTATGTTGCTTATAACGTACTTATTTTTTAAATCAGAAAAATCCAGTTTGTTACTTTTGAAATCAGTAAATGAGACTGACATCAATGAGAACAACAGTCAACTGTTCACAAAATCATTAATAACAACTGACATTATTGTTGGAAGTGAACGAGTAACATTGTCCAATGATTCGATAAATAACCAGTTAACAAATGTCGGCAAACAAGTAGTCGTTCATTCAGAAAACAACATAACAATTCAAGATTTGCCCATATTTCGAAATGTTGCATTGATTGTCGTTGGGATTGGAGTATTATTCACAATAATCTTCCATTGTGGTGTTCGTGAAGGTAAACCGAAAACACACCAACCACTCACAATAAAATCTTCTGAAAGTAAGTCAAATACCATGTTGATGTAAATGGAATTTCGGAAATCTCGACTATGCATGAACGCTTTTACACTTGGATAATTTGATCCGGTTATTAATGAGTTTGTAGGTATCATTACCAAGATTTGATTTGATAATTTCGAATAAATTGAGCATTGGGTAGATTGTTATAAATAAATAATATATTTGTAATATCCTCATTGGGATATTACAAATATATTATTTATTTATGTATGAACGATGTTTGTTGATATGTTTACGTGTTTCAACAAATGGAGCTGATGCGGATGAAAGGATTTTTAGAGAGATCTCTGTGCTGATTGAATAAACGTTAAACTCAGTGCAACCAATTTGATCAATAAAAAGTAATCATCTGATTAGTTTTGACTCGAATAGGGTACTAACTTGGTAAATGTTCATTGGTTTTACTGTACACTGAATGATTAGTTTGAAAGAGATATTGATGCTGAAAACACTGGAAAAATTACATTTCACTTAACTGTTATTTTTGTCGATGTAGAAGAAATGAACTAAAGTTGGTCGCAAATCTCTGTCACCCATCATATTCAAGTTTAATTGGCTAGTGTTATGGCGAATACACAGGTAGACATTGAGTTAAGTTGTGGACTGAACTCGGTTGGATATTGACGAAAATGTTCGTTGTCATCATCAGACAGTTGTTTCATTGAGATTTGAGATTCCTCGTCATCTATTACTCACCACTCAGAGGCACTCAGGTCACACCGCACAAAACCCACTGATCTGTGGTTCATTAGTTGTCCTTGAGTGGTTGGATTCACATTTCACTCCAGAGAAATGTATAGGTCACCAGGAGCATCAGACTAAGACGAACTAGGTGTATAGTCCTTCCTAGTTTCTAATGTTTCTCTAGTTGATTCCAGTCGATTCCGGTTCATGTTTCGCACCACATTTAAGCAAATCTATTTCCACAAATCTTTTGATCATAACGGTACAAAGACATATACAAATTGTTGTTGTCCAAATAACATTGTCTGTTTAGTAAGTTAATAAAAGGAGTTGAAGCAAATCAATCATAATCGAAATTGGTTGTAGGATGGTCGCTATACTAACTGTTCCCTGCAAACAAAGATATATAAAAAATGTCTGTATTTGCACAAAGAATGATAAACTGAATGGAATAATTTCAATTGTTTGTAGATATAGGCTTATACAAAATTAGAATTAAGCAAATGTTTGATGTGTATTCTGTTCGTGCCCGTCTGTGAGGTTATACATAAGAAATAAAAGGAATATGGTATGATTATGCATATAAGTAAGCATAAGGATGTCGAGCTTCATAGTGTTAAACATGAGCTTAATACTATGTATGTACACAATCAAAGGGAAGAATTATAATTATTATTCAATGTAGTGAAAAATTATCAATAAAAAATTGTAACGATATAGCGTTGCAGCCGTCTTATTCTGCGTCCAGATCTTGTCGTTAGCGTCGTTGATTCTTCGGACTCGTGTTTCGTTGATGTGACCGTTTTCGAGAGTTCCGTACCTGTCGGTTGAAAACAGCTATCGGTGAAGGTTGCTTTTACTCGATCGATGCAGATTACATCTGTCATTCCTTCATTTTGTACAGTAATTGTATTATCTGCCCTCACCATCACTTTAAACGAACCGTAGTGATTCGGCCACGAAGGTGGTTGTACATTATCTATTCTAGTGAATACGTGAGTTCTAATATGTAGTTCTTACGGTATGAACACTCGTCGTTGTGAAGGTATAACTCAAGTTGAATGAATAGATAGGACTATACAAATGCTAAAATAAAATATATGGGCTTAACATAATAACCGACACTACAAGCTAATCACATGTTCTTGATTTGAGTTGTGTTGAAGTCCTGTAGGATAGACACTGGGAGGGAATCTAGTGCAGATATTCGTCTAAGGCAAATGAGCGTCCCATTCATGTAGACGTGGAACACCGAGCGTTATAACAGTGGCGATGTTGATTAAAACGGATCTATGCCTATATATTCAGTTAAAGTGGATTTTGTAACAATAAAATGTATGACATGAAATCTTTATTGCAACAGCATAGTACTCTTAACGAATGATTGATCAAGAATACGTCATTATCATCAAGAACCGAGGTATCTAATTCTAATATGACTTCGCATTTTATTGCGAATTCAATAAATGAATTTGGATTTGATCCAGAAAGTGAGATTACTTTTGAGGCATGGTTTAATGGTCATGAGGATTTGTTTATCAGGAGTGGGACGAATTCCAAATCGAATGAGACCCAAAACGTCTTGTTGACGATGTAGTGAGTGCCATTCTGGTAAAGTTTGATATTCAAAAAAAGATTTGTTTTCGATGTGTTAGATATAGCCATGGACTCATACTCTATATGGCCTGAAATCCGTACTGTATGAAGACCGTCCACATATGAAACACTGTTACATCTCAGAAAACTATTTGGTAGGTTTGGAACGCCTAATGTTTTGGTCTTAGATAACGGAACGCAAATTATGTTGTCAGAGTTTGAGGAGTTCTGCAAACAAAATGTAATCAAACATATATTAGAACCCGATTGTATCAACTTCAGTTAAATGGAATTTTCACGTTGGTCCTCGAGAAAGATTACATTATTGTTTGAACACTGTCGATCATGTTAATAATGGCACTCGTTTTTATTTGATTACCAGTAAATTTGTGGAAAATTATTCACATAATTGTGGGTGACTGAATGATGCTGTTTGATTTGACACACACAAATCGCTTCAACTGCGTTGTTTCTCCATTCCATCTTCTTCCCAACAATTTGTTTGAGTACATAAAAATTATAATGTGTAGTGATAAATACAAACTATCCAAATAACGTTATCTAACATCTGTAGGTGATAATCAGTTCACACGAACCAATTGTAGGCATTGAATGAGATTCACCTACACTATTTCTTGTAATCTGAAATCAGTGAGAATTTGACACTTATTTCTTTCTATTGTTCAAGATGCATCAGATGAATTGTCACAAGCGAATGGAACAAGCAACAATAACGGACTGATTAATGGTAATTCTGTTGTGGTTTCACAGCTCGAATCCAAACGAAAACGGACCTACAGCCTTTCATCTACACTTCCCTGGTATGCTTGGTTTACACTACCAAGATTCTGGCTGAGCTGTTCTACATTCAGTATAATGCGTCTTAGTGTAACTGTTTCTGTGGTAAGTAATGAATCATTAAAGAACCTAATGGAATGACGACAAGTGAAGATAATTTTCTGTACGGAACCTCTCCTATGGGATCATATTTAGGAAGTCTGTTTCAGGATTATAACACAATCAGGGTTTTATCGTTGAAATCTCTATGGAAGATGAGATTTATGTGAAAATAAGTGAAGTATCGAACAACTGGAAAACATTGAACTGTTAATTGATAATATGTTAAAAGCACCATCAAAATGAAATGCATCCTTCCAATAAGTGATGTCGAAAAATAATCACAACATATTCTGCAAATCAGATAATATCGCACGACTTCACCAAGCAAGAACATCAAGAATCAACGAAAAAATCAAGGTCTTCTTTGAGACCGGATATACCATTTTAAAATTCAATTGTAGGAGGTCTGAACTAATAAGGTTTCAGAATTCAGATGGCAAGTAGAAACAGTGACCTAAATATCGATGGGAGATGCTCATGTATGGAAAACTTTGGTTGTTTAGATAAATATCGCGCTTAGTATTAATTGGATCATTAAACTGGTTACGAATAATGCAAGCTACCTCGCAGTAATGGATGGTGTGGCATAATATGTAAAATAACATGCGACAGAGATGTGCCTAAAACATGAGAAGCGAAATGGACTCTACTTCAAGTGGGTTCATGATGAGGGTAAAGTGTTCGACATTCAGCTTGTTCCGTAAAACTTGAGGCTGAAGTATGCGATATTTTGTCATTGCCTCTCAGACGTCCAATCAATAAATCCTTTTGTAACTTGTAACGATAGTAACTACAATGTAGAAGAATATATCAGTGTGAAAATCTTCTGATTATATTAAGAATTACATAGTAATCCGATATAGTTTAGTTGAGATGCTTTGATAACAAATATAAACATGTAGTATTGCAATACTAGTCCTATATTTGATGCTTGAGACCACGTGTATCTGTGATCATTAGTACACAGCTGAAGTCGACAGTCAGTAACTCTCTGAACTAGCGTTATGTTAAGGATGCTCATAATGTTTCCCTAATGAATTCACTTCAAGCATCATTAAGTTTTCGTGATGGACTTCAGTCAAAATCGACTAAGATAATTAGTACATTCACTTCTCTATATTCATTTTATGCATAAACGTCTCATTGTTCTTCCACAAGATTCTTTTCATTATCCATGTTTGTTATTAAACTTTGCCGTTTTGTGTTGAATTTGTGATATATTTAAATGATATAGCAGTTTACTTTGATTTACCTACCTGTCTATTTGATCTACTTGCAATGAATGATCTATTTCAACTTCTGTAAACTTATTATATGATGAAATTCAACGTTAAACTCTCAATATTAGATAAGTATTTCAAACCATCAGAAACACATACAAAGTTAGGTACATAGATTAAAGTACTAAGAACACAGGTCGGATAAAAAATTGCTTTAATTAGTTCTTCACAGGAACACGAAACTAATATACATGTTCTAAAATGAAGACTAAAGCCAATGTCATATAAATGGTGGTTGGTCAGTTTAACAATGCATTTCAATATTTCCTCTAAAAGTAGTCATCAGTTAATAAATAAACGAATACAAAATTCGATCTGAAGACGAGAGTACGTATTCAGATTATCACAACAACTCTTTACCGACACGAGGGTTTAACAGTGTTAATGTCGAAGTTCATTCAATTCACGAAATGGCGCAAACCAGACTTATCATGGCTTTTAGTGTATAATTGTTTCACACTGGACATTGTTGAATTCGACTGGTCACAGCCTCTCGCTTGAACTAAATTTAGCATACTTACAATAGTGAAATGGAATAGATTTGAATATGTGGCGATTGGGACAGACTTAATTCAATTGAATAAATATGATATGTGAGAGAATGTTCTGGATCATCAGTTATGATGACTAGAGATCATAGCTGTAAGACAAATACTTGATTATTTAATGAGGTGTCTGAACACAAACTGATTGTAATTAAGAATGAAATGTGTTGAGATCAATTATTTAGAACTGAAATTATGAATTTTAAAGAAGTGAAGGATTTGAGATAAGAGAATGAGTTCTAAGACTGATTTGTTAATCTGATAAAACACTTTGAATGGCTTCACAGGCACTAAATATTTTGTGGATACTCGAATTACTCAATAAATATACATCCACATGGTAACACTCAAAAAAAAATTTATGCAGTTTCCGGATTACAATCCTAAACATATACCAAGTAAACGACAAACCATTAACTGCCCTCTACATCTAGGTGTTCCGATAAGGCTGAACATACCAAAACAGATTCTAGTTAACTGAAGTTCTGAATATTAACACTGAGATAACATAAACTTAACTAATGCGTGCTTTTAATGCCCAAATATAAAAAATGAATTACAAACCAAAATATTATCTGTAAATAAATATATTTGCTGTTATATTTTCAGATTTACAGTGGTCCATTTTTGCTGAATTCATTAGAAATGGATAAAAGTTCAATGGTTTCTGTTCCCATAGTTACAACAATTTCTTGTTTGATTACATCAATTGGTGTTCAAAGGATTAATAAATTACTCGGGAATTATGTAAGTAGAAGTAATTGACGATTTCAACAACACTGAAATCAAGTTAAAAGTTTATTACTGAAAATTATTTCACATTTTATTAAGCTCTGATTCATAACAGTTTGGTTGACCACTTTTTAAACCTCATTCATTTGCCAATCGAGTACAGTTTAATCTGTCTCTCTATAACCGGTAATGAAAAACTAACAGGTTGTCTCTACTATAAACCGTCGAAAGTAGTATTTATAGTTTCAAAGCGTTTATAATCATCTACGTGTTAACGTATGTAGGCGAAAATTAACTGTAATTGTAAGACCTGATGAGGTTTCGATCGAGAAGGAACAATTCGAGTCCATAACTATAAGAACATCACTCTTGAATTTTATGGTGTTGAAGAGATCTAGAGTGGGGCATCACATGATGTTAAACAGAATACATTGAGAGACAATTTAGATGGTTTCCGAGTACATTTTTATTGGTCGGTATCAACAAGTAGTCTGAGTAGTAGATCGACATCGAGGCGAAAGGACTCAAAGGGGCCAAACGTCTCATGTGATAAAGGCAAGTAAAACAACTTGATCAATCAAACAGATTACAGCTTCAGTCATGAGTGAATCAACAGAATTACTAATGTTCCTCAGATTCTGAAAATTAATCATATTAATTATATCGGCTGATATAGAGGATGTGTTTGACTTACTCTGAGGAAGTCTCATGTGGCAGTTTGTATTGCAGAAGGCTCTATCGAAATAACACAATTATGGGTAGCTTTACTCAAATACTAGAGCATGTATAATTACCTGGAAGCACCGTCCAATATCCAGACATATGATGCAGAATATGAGGTTGAATCAGACAACAGATTAAGTTAGACATTTTCAATATAACTCAATATATTTCCAACACTTATCAACTCCCCATTGAATACACAGTTTTCAATAAGACAATGGAAGTTAAGATTACAGAAGTTCTTTCACCATACATAACTATTTACTCTTTACTCATGTAACATAACTTTGAATTCAGTATTTGTTACGCAATCGTCAGCAGATTCTAATGTTGGTTAATTCATCATATAACAAACACGCGATATAATCACTTGAATTAATTTGACTACATTCAATGGATTGTATCTTATTAATTTTAGAGAGCTGCAGTTTTCCACATATGTTGGACAGTTAGTCTTGACAAACATTACCAGTGAGATATTAGTATGCAAACCGACCACTCATACATAACACATCATGGCTTTAAAGTATTCAGAGTAGGATTTTAAATGTCTATCGCTAGTTGATAATACTCTAAATGGTCAATTACTCATCTTGCCAATGATTGGCTTGACTTGATGTAATATATCCTAGGGATGGCTTTACTACTCATACGTGAATTTCGACAAGCACTTTGAAGAACTCAGCACGTTTGTCTATCTTATAACATCATATCTCTTTGAGTTTGTACATGTTCCGCTACAACTCGTACATGTATTTTTAATTTTAGATTGGCTCAGTCGTCGGTGTTCCATTTATCCTCGGTTTTTGTACAATCGCTTACTTTTACAAAGCAGCCGATGAAAACCCCGTAACAATGTATTTTGCTGCAGCCATCCTAGGTATTGGTAGCACAATCAATAATGTTCGAGCATTAGTTGTGATCACATCATTGATTGGTGTAAAACAAGTACATACAGCAGCATTTGTTCATGGGATCGCATCGTTGTTGGACAAAATTTTGACTGGTGTCTTCATTCAATGCATACAACTCTGTGTACCTCAGTTGACTTATAGACATATACAAGTGTATATTGTAGGCGGTTTGGCAGTTTTCGGTGGTATTCTAGTGACAATTGATAATTTCATTTATTCAGAGAGTTTAGAGAGTACAGATGCACCATGTCTTTCATGTTTTGGTCGAAGAACAATGCCATCATCGCCTCCGTCACCCACGAAATTTCAGAGTGACAAGGAAATCAATTCTAATATCCAAACCTTCCATCACGGTGTTAGCAATGATAAAGAAAATAACGATAACTGTATAAACTAGTCAACATATTTATTTATCTTTAGCACAAACCAAAAATCTTTCCTCATAAAACAAATTGCCTCCATTTTGGATTTCACTACCAATATTCAATCCTTTGGTTTATTCCTGTATATTCACCTACTCTTCCTTTCAAATACGTATATTTTAACATATAGTCTGGTCAATTATCACGTGACTTATTTACCAATCGCAATACGACATATACAATGCAGCACAAACACTCGATGTTCTTCTATTCTGTGGAGTGTTATTTTTAGATCTTTATGTGCTTCTTTTGTTGCTGTACGTAGTTGATTACATCCGTCAGAACACCCTTACCTGAATCGAAAATTTCTCCTAGTTAACGTAATGTAGTTCCGTACACCAACTCTGTTGAACAGCACCTCAACATCTTGTTTAATTGTTGTTCGTAGACCTAACATGACTAGTGGTAGCTTAGTTGCCCAATCACTGTTACCAATGACGGTCGTTGGAGATGCCTTTAACTGCCTGTGTAGATGTTCAACCATAACACTAGACATCGGATGAAAGGATATAGTGTGAATACGTCTAATTCCTAGGAGTTCTGTCAGTTGTTGAAACATGCAACTTTCGAACTGAGTTTCCCTATCAGTTGTTATGAATGCTGACACTCGTAGTAAGGAGTCCAGTTTTCGACTAGCGCTTTGGCTACGGATTCGGATGACGTGCGTTTTATCGCTGTGCTTACTTATACTGGCCTATCCAAATGCTAAAATAAAATATATGGGCTTAACATAATAACCGACACTACAAGCTAATCACATGTTCTTGATTTGAGTTGTGTTGAAGTCCTGTAGGATAGACACTGGGAGGGAATCTAGTGCAGATATTCGTCTAAGGCAAATGAGCGTCCCATTCATGTAGACGTGGAACACCGAGCGTTATAACAGTGGCGATGTTGATTAAAACGGATCTATGCCTATATATTCAGTTAAAGTGGATTTTGTAACAATAAAATGTATGACATGAAATCTTTATTGCAACAGCATAGTACTCTTAACGAATGATTGATCAAGAATACGTCATTATCATCAAGAACCGAGGTATCTAATTCTAATATGACTTCGCATTTTATTGCGAATTCAATAAATGAATTTGGATTTGATCCAGAAAGTGAGATTACTTTTGAGGCATGGTTTAATGGTCATGAGGATTTGTTTATCAGGAGTGGGACGAATTCCAAATCGAATGAGACCCAAAACGTCTTGTTGACGATGTAGTGAGTGCCATTCTGGTAAAGTTTGATATTCAAAAAAAGATTTGTTTTCGATGTGTTAGATATAGCCATGGACTCATACTCTATATGGCCTGAAATCCGTACTGTATGAAGACCGTCCACATATGAAACACTGTTACATCTCAGAAAACTATTTGGTAGGTTTGGAACGCCTAATGTTTTGGTCTTAGATAACGGAACGCAAATTATGTTGTCAGAGTTTGAGGAGTTCTGCAAACAAAATGTAATCAAACATATCAGTACTACGAGCGTTATTATAAGTATGTTGATTGAAATACTCTTATTATAAGAGAAAGATGAATTTATATACTAACTACTTAATAGTTTTACAATGGGAATATGTGTATAATATTTGTCTATGAATATATCTCAGACATTTCCTTTGAATTACTCTTCACTGTGATATAACAAAACTTTATTATGAGTCTTTTTCATCAATAATACTATTCTTAATTATTCTAGTACTTAATTCTTCATTCAACCTTTCGATTGAATATTTTATTTTTGTATACATCAGGCTGTAGTACTTAGACACTTGATGTAAATTAAGAATATGGAGTACTCATAATATTTGTTATTTTAGCGGAATATTGTATTAATTATCATTAGTTATTCGTAATTGATTCTTCGACAGATGTCTTCTCTGCAAACAAGCAGAAGCTAGAGTGTAGGTAACATTTTTTAATAAAACAAGTAGAAATAAATTGTCCCAACCAACATGTATTATAACTCTATTCATTAACTTCAAAATTGGTTTACATTGGCTGATAAAGAAATGAAAATTATAGATTGACGATTATTTATTTTGCCCTGAACTCCACATCATGATAACCCATGACTAGTTTATGGTTTATATTGTGACAAATTTAAAAGGTGAGATAAGTATGAGGTTACTGTATATTTTGGTTAGATATTTTATATAATTTGGTAATAGTTTGAGTGAAGGTTTGATATGTACTTGAGGAGATTGGAAGAATCAAAGGAGTGCTGGACAACCGTTTCATCCAATTTAGGGGCTTTATAGCATTATACATTCACGACTGCAAAACAGACATTTCACAGTGAGTATAGCACTTTCAAATCCCTGAATCAGAATCAATTTGTCTACATTTTGTGAAATAGCGAGACAGCAGTTAGCTCACACCCGATTTGTTTGACTTTATAATTCACAGCTTCCCACCATAACTTTGAGAAATACATCTCGAAGCTAGTCAGTAACAAGCGTATGACCATTAATTAGATAGATGTTTTGTAGAAACTTCTTTGATTGAAACTCAGTTCTTATGACTCATCGTTTCATATTCTCAACAAGAATACCTCGTGATCCTATTGAATAAGTCATTATGAATCAGAAGCATACTAATGACAAATTATAAGGTTAGATCTGCAAGTTTCAAAGCATTAGTTCTTTGAGAAAATGTTAACGGTATATAATCTTGATAACGTAATGATAGGATGAATCAATATTACTAAAAATATCCTCCTGGTAGTCATCAGGAATTATCCACCTGTTGTTTTCGAATCTGCATCCTTTAAGTTTCACTGATCATACGTTGATGTTTATTTACTAGACCGATTACTAAATACCTGTTTCTGATAGAAGAGTTCATTATGATCTTTACTTTTATTTCTGAATAATGAGTAAACAGAGTAGCAAAACTATAATTACTATTCATGTTTATTTATGTAGATTTTCTATGTCAATGATAAACATATTAATTTCAAAATTGGTGTATATTTATCACTACAATATATAAATTTGTGTGTACTACAAAAAGACCTACTGTAGATGACTTATTTATATATTATAATCATGAATTGTAATATGAAGTTTGAATCACGTAATTGAATCATCATTTATTCTAAAATGGATTCGGTTTGACTTTCAGCTGTGATGACTGTAGCGTCGAATGCTGCCGAAGCTCTTCTATGTCCAGCATATCTTAACTGTTTTAATGTAGGATTACGAGATAAGTCTAATTTCGGTTTGGGTATTTCATCTTTCGGATGTGTGAAGCGTCTCCATAAGGATGGATGACCATCAAAAGAATTTTTTGATTTGGGATGAAGTTTCTCTTTCTTTAATGAATATTTATGCCATTTTATTTCAATAATTAAAACAATTAAACTTGTTACAACGAATACAGAAAGTACAATAAAAGCACCAGATATATTGCGCAATGTAATTAAATTGAAAGTGGCTGTATTTGAGGTACCTTTTACTTTTTCAACATTCCATTTCTCAAGTAAATGATCAATAACTCCTCTTTCTCGAAGAATTGACATACTAAATCAAAAATACAATAAAATGTCTAAATAATTATTGTTAAATATATTATTAAAGTATGTTAACAGAGTGAATAGTTTAGCTATGAAATGTTATAATAATTTACTGTTAACTTATTTGCAAAATATTTATGAACTGACACTTCAAATATTCACTTAGGAACCGATAATAACATGAAAGTCAATGTTAGTTACTTTTTAGTAATATTACGTTTCATTATGAAAGGACAATTATTCCATCGTATTGTACGCCATTAATATCAGTAAATGAAAACTTATCTGAGAATGGTTCAGTCAATTTGTAACTGTACATTTAGGAAGCATAGTGAATCAAATTTTAATATGAGTAAACTATTATGAGTAAGTAAAACAATAATCTAATCCACATCACTATCCTCATGTTACTTTCTGAGTTTCTACGGTCACCTTTGTACTCATATTAATTGTAAGGATATAGCTTTGAATCATACAATTATCAAAGAAATAGAAGTTTTTATCGCTATATAGCTAAGTTGAACAAAAGTTACGAATGGGTACGGTGACTTAATAAGGCATTAGATAATAATGAAAATGTCATATAGAATAACTTACAAATTAAGCATTAGTGGAGCGTATTCTTCACCTAACCTTACAGCGAATCCAAATGGTACTATAACTTTCTTATCATCAACAACTGTCAAAGTTTCCTCATTGTCAGGTAAATTATGCATTAATTGTATTCTATCATCTAGTACAACATTTTTAGTACTGTTGCGGACGTACGCTACACTATCACTTATGTTGTTAAGGATAACTGGATTTTCCATAATTTTTTCATATACTATTGAGTAATATTCATTGGAAGTTGCACTCTGAAAGACAAAAATGTTCACAAAAAGAGGTACATACCAAATGTACTATTGTTAATACAACATAATCAACAGCTAATCAGAGGAAAATGCACATTCATCAATAAAGCCCATTTACGTTTTATCTTCCCATAATGTGGCATCGCCGTTTTCTCCTTAATTATTGGCTAGGAGTTCAATTAAGGACCAATATTTACTTATTTGGTGTTTACCGAGATCTCAGTGTTGATATCTACACTTAAATTCAATCGCAGTACCTATCGTTTTAGACCCCAGAGCATTATCTACCAGGCTATCAAGATACGATAGCCACAAACAGGTATGGTATTGGGATACTCCAACAGGGACTGATCACATTTAGTCGCGGATAACAACAATGAGAAATCACAAACATTGACAAATCGTAATTATTCTCACTTCACATAATAAAGCTCACGGTTCATTTTAAGATATATATACAAACTGTTATTGTTGCTTGAATTGCAATTATTTCTGAATACTGTGTAATGAGTGATTAATTAAAATCAAGACAAGAAATTGAAATATAAGTGAAGATCACGAGTCGATTTACGCTAGAACACCACTGAAAACCTGAAAGCACTAGATGG